CCCCCCCGGATATGTCGCATTATTTATGCATTAAATGCTGCTTAGATATATTATCGATTAACACCTAGTTTCATTAAAGAGTGCCACCAAAACTGCAACTGAAAATCGGCTTAAAAAAGAAGAATTAAACACAAGCAGGCTAACCTTGGAAGAAGCCCAGAAAGAAACAGAACTGAAGCGTACAGAATACGAAGAACTGAGGAAATCATTTTTACGTAAGTATTGCGTAGCTCCTCTACATACATGGGCTTTCTGTTGCTTTATTCAAAAGCAGGGAGCCATAGCCCTTTGCCTATGACTCAAGTGATCTATGAAACAAGTATAAGCTGAGCTCTTTGAAACAACTGGAATCTGTAGACATGGCCATAACATCAATACCAAGCATTTTTTTAAAATGCCAGATTAGTTAAGCAGATCACTTACTGATAGAACCTAGTTTTATTTGTAACAGCTTAACTTTAATGTTCAGTCATTACACTGTAAAAACGGTTTCCTTGCTTCGCAGAAAAGGAAGGTGAAGTGGTACAACTCAAACGAGCCATTCAGCAATCAATCGAAACAACTGCGAAGCTCAAGGAGGACACGGTAATAACTTAAAACTTGACTGTATTACTTCTGCAAAGTTTCCACCACCAGCTTTATTTCCCCACAGTAAAGAGCAGGCGCCCATGGGGACTGGGGAAGACAGGCTGGGGCTGGGACACATCTTCTCTTTGTTGCTGTGTTCCCATCTGGGGGTGCTGCGGCTCTCAGCCCAACCTGTGACCCAGCATTTACATCGAGCTGCCCCTGTGCTTGATTTTGCATTCCTTTGGCACATGACCAAGCCAACAAGAAGCTGGTGAACTAAGGGCAGTGGTGAACTGACTTTCATTCAGATGTTTAGGGCGGGATTTTCTGTACTTCAGTAACTCATATTTGAAAACTCTTTACTTAATTGCAAAAATAATATTAAAAGATCAGTTAGTAGCAAAGTATTATTAACAGCTGGAGCTGAGGAAGGAATTGCGGATCAAGCATGATGCTGCAGTTGGCTGGCTGAAAAATCATACAGAAAGTATGAAGCTGCTAGAATGAGACATCTATGAGATCAACAGGAAACTTGACATTGTGAATACCAAGAACTGCAGAATCAAATTAGTGAGTATATTGGAGCTTGACAGTGCTCTTTCTCAGTGTGAAGTTCTCTGTACATTTTTCATTTCACAGAGAACTGGCCATGGAAGATGAAGAAATATAAACAGCACAGGACAAACCTGGCCTTTTAAATGAGCTTGTGAGGCTGTGTTGACTTTGAGAGGAAACAAAGAGGAATATCCAAGGGCAAGGCACCACCCTGAGGCATAATCAATATTGTGTATAGTCTGCTGCATTCAGTCAGGGATTGTAGGAAAAGAACTTCATGCCACATGAAGAGGGCTGAGATGAACATGAGCTGTAGAACAGGCCTGCACGATCTGGAATACCTGCTTTTGAAAAGATTCTGTGTATCTTTCAGGCCCCAGGCTATCAGCATAGCAGAACCTCCTTCCCGGTAAAACACATGATGGATCCTAAAAGTGGTCTTATTGCCAAGTGGTACCAGGCTGCCGCTCGTACCTGAACCCACATTTGTGCAGCCATGTCAAGTAAATTTCTGAGCTGCCCTGAACCCTGTGCACTGTTTGCTGCCTGCAAGCACAGAGCTGTGCTGGTGCAGGGGCAGCTGCCTGAATCGGAGTGTGCTGGCATGGCAGATGCTAGGGACTGGCTGCTCTGCAGCCCTCTCTTATGATACTGTTATGGAAGCAAAGACTTCTCTCAGGAAGAAAGCTCTTGGTTATGCTACAGACGTCCCTCTCTTTCTCTTCAGGTCACTAACAGGATCTGGGAAGCTCTGAATTTTCTGATGCCTGAATTGCACCAGGAAACACTGTTTATTGTGCCTGATTTGGGCCACCTAACACATTTCAGCCAAACCTAGGACAGTGAAAACTGGGTACTGGTACAGCTGATCCAACATGAATGAGTCCATCCTATTTTGGGGGAGTGAGTGAGGAATTCTCCAGGAATATCTGGAGAATGAGCAGGAAATACTGAATGCAGTGACTGCTCTAACAGCAAAAATTCAACAGCGAGAGGAAAAGATTGGGGATAGTAATAGCAGGCTACAAAATAAGCTGGAAGGACTGGATTCTCTGTTTGACAAAAAAAATCTAGACTGGATGACCACTGTAAGATACACTAAACTTTTTCTTTTCCAACCTTATTTTTCTTTAAAAAAAATAAACCCCAGAATACGTTAATTCTTAGCAGTTTGTGCTAAAACACAGCCATGTTTTATCTGACCACTGCTGCAGGTTGACTCCTACTCGTACATTTATGAAAAGAACTATGCATGCTTTATAACACAGCCTGGATATTATTATTATCTTTAATTTCCACTTTCTAAAGGCTTGTGATAATAGCAGTGAGGGGGCTTTAAAGTAGTCTAAGCATCGCTGCTCTTTCCAGAGGAATATGTATGTTCTTCCACAAAGGATAAATAAAAATAACAGGCCCCCAACTCCCACAGCTTGTGGTTGCAAGGTTATTGCTGTAGGACTGTATGTGTAATTAATGTTTGTCTTCTATAATTTTACATGTGAGCAATTTCTACTGCTGTTTCCATTGAAATGAACAATATTATATTCTCTTCTCTTGGGGAGGGGTGATACTACACAGTGGCCCTAGGCAGATTCAAGTCATTTGCTTCAAGACCTCTTTTTAACTCAGATACTACGGATAGCTCTACTTGTTGATTCTCAGAGGTCTCATTTGTAGTTAGTTGCATGTTTGGTCACTGTAGGACCATTGCCTTGTTACAGAATGTGGGTTTTGTACATATTAAAGCTGAAAGGCTATGGCATACAGGCTGCTTTGAAATCACAGGGTCTGGGTAAAGTGACAGGAAACCAGGAGAGAATGATGGATTTATAGAGGAAGGGAATGTCCCTGGAATGAAGTCAGGCAGGAAGGGGAAGGATGGTGAAATTCTGCTTCATCTGAAAGCCAGCACCAGTATTATTTTCTGTGTGAAATGTGCAGGGCAGGTTTCTTCACAAGGAGCCTGCACAAAAACATCGCTTAGTCATTCCAAACCGCATGTGTTAATTTTGCCGTGTCTTACCTAACTCTTTGGTTGTCAATACATTTATTTATTTTTTTTTTAATGCTAGTGAGAGAAGGTGAGAAAAAAGAGTCTATTAATTCATATTTTGTGTTTCAGGTTTTGCTGAAGGCTAAAGCAGTGGAGCCCAGCAGGAAGGTCAGTGTTTGGGTCTGCACTGCAGCACGGGGCACACTGCCTTCCTGTAAGCTCTGCTTCTCATGGAGTCCCTCAGTCAGCAGCCTTTAAAATTAATACGATTCTCTAGACCTAGCAGAAGATAGACCTTTACTACAGCTAATGTTACATGGCAATTGAGTTGTTACTTTTATTTTTAAAGACAATATACAAGCAAACTTTTAAACCCAATACATGTAGTTCATACACTGAAATGCACATAAAAGTGTACAGCCCTTTTCCTGCGCCGTGCTGCACTGGCTGCTCACAGCCTGCTATGCCTGCACTGATGTGACAGCTGTGCAAATGCAGGCACTAAACTGTGGTCTGGATAATTTTAAAGAAAAATATGCCTATGACTCTGTCCATTATGGAAATTATTATGTTTTAATACATAACTTTTAAAAACCACAACTTTAGAACTGTCTTCTGGATTCATGTGTGTGCAAATTACATTTTGTACATAGCAGTATAGGCAGAATTTATTTTATTTCCTTGAGCATAATTACTTCCTTAATCCCACAATAAGCCCTTACTTCTGCATGCAAGACAGTCTGCACACTGTTTTTAAAAGCAGTGAACCTGTCAATTTGCATGTCACAGAAAAAAAGCTATCATCAGGGAAGGGCTAACAGATGTAACAAAATCAAACGTTCCCTGGAGAAAGAGGAGAGCGACATCTCGAGGCAGTCTGGCAGAGATGACACCTCTGAAAGCCCCAGAGCTCCTTGGGAATGTTGATGGGTAATAGAATAAAAATATCGTTAGTGTCACACTTAAATCTAGAAATATCTACTGTTATTTGCACTGCTACAGCCAACGTCCCATACAGTAGGAAGAGTTTAAGTTGAAATTATCAACTTAAGGGTTGTGTGTGTGTGGGGGGGTGTGTGTAATGCTCAATCTATTTCATTTTTTAATGGAAGGAAGATGAAAGTCTGTTCCACTGGTGGGGGACAGAAGCCAGAGATGAGAAAACCAAGTTCTATATTATAGTTAAGTTTTATTTGTTTTATTGAAAGTCTACTGCAAACCAGGCTCTATTGTTTTATTCAAACACCACCTAAAATACTGTATTAGGAAATAAACATATATAAGCAAACTGCTGTACTACAATGTGGCACAAGCTTTTTATACAGATTCACAGTGATAAATACAGACATTCCCTTCAATCTATACCAGACACTTATGAAGAATACTAAGTGCAGCTTTTTAATATTACAGTCTCACTCAGAGGTGTTTCACCTAGGTCTGTACATTAAAAACTTCTTTTAAAACAGAAGTTTCCAAAGGATCAAGCACCAAAACTGCTTAACCCAGATCATTAGGACAGTGTTGTTGGCACAGGCTCCTTTTAATGTCCATTTCCACCTTCTGAGAGTATGCGCGACGGCTCAGTGTACTTTGCTGTCACTAAGTAGAAGAGGGCAGGTGCAGGTACCAAGGCAAGCAATGGCAGGTCCTGCTCAAGCTTATCCAGTTTGGAAATGGAGATGATTCCATAGGCATGAAGTAACCAGTGGCTGAAGAGGACAACGAGCCTTTTCTTCCTGACAAGAAGATCCTTGAAAGACTTGCAAAAGAAACACAGCATCCTGTGAACATTCAGCCTGTTACACCTATCCCTGATGTTTGAGAGATGTTAAGGTAGCGCATAGAGACTGCATGAAGCCTCCTAGGTGTGAGCCCTTCCGCCACCTAACAGAGTTTCTCAGTGGACCAGAAGAGGGAAGTCTCACAGGAGCTTCCTCCAGCCAAGAGGAGGTGTCATAAAGGACAAGGCTTAAACGCAGAATACACTGCTAAGAAAAGGCAAGAGATAAAGTGGCCTCTGCTCCTTCAAGTATTTTATACTATGAGTTTGAACATAAGAAACATGTTTACCTACCTCCACTTCAGATGCAGACATGTACACAGCCAGTGTAACCAAAGACAACACCAGTATGATGTATGGGAAGGCATAATCTAAAGGCAAACATGGAACATATCAGCA